GGAGAGTATAGTTTTTCTTTCTCTTAAAAATTGCATTAATTTCTGAAATACTGAATGAGGACTTGCTGTCGTGCTTCTTCAATGACTTTCATATGCATATCCACATTTGAGAACTTGTTAGTTCATTATATTGTTATGCTGTCTTACTATTGCAGATTGATGCCTGGGCTCAGCTGAATTCTCTACCAGGCCAGTTTACGGGAAGTACCGGTGCACAGGTCTTGTCTTCAGAACAGTTATCCAACAGCGGTCCCCAGGCTTGGATTAAAAAGGTAGATGATATTCAGACAGATGAGTCCAAATGTCACAGTTTAAGCTCCTTTGAAATCACTGGAAGAAGTGATAATGACACACTTAGGACACTAATAGCCTCATAAAATATGTGCAGAAAATAAACTGAGTTAATTTACTTTTGTGCTCTGTCAAGATGTGTGCGCGCGCTCTTGTTTTGGAATCTGTATCTACTATGCCTAATTAGCTCTGTGTTAATACTGGTTTGGTAGATGAACTGTAGAAACTGGGAGAATGTTCTATGCTGACGTATTAAAACATGTATTACTCCCATGGTTACTGTTATCTTGTGCTGAAGTTACCCTGAAATGTGGGTACAATCAACTGTGGTAGTTCTGTTACTGACCTTGTCAGAACTTGAATCTGATTCCTGATTTAAGTAGAATTTTGGCTGATGAACAGGGCTGTAAAAATGCATTTGCTCGCTTGCCTTTGTTGGATACAGCTTTGGAATTGGTGAGATGCAGCTGCAAGCGAAGATTGAGGCTCTGTGTAGTGTTCAATATTTTCTACTTTTTTACTTTCCTTCTTACAGTGAGATGGAGGCTTGTTTTGTGCCTCAGTTAGTTAAAAAACCCCACAGACTCTGATTCCTGCCTGATCTAGTTGCACCATCTGAAAGGGTCTGACTTGCCTGGTCAGCTCTCAGAAGAGGAGACTTTATTCTGGACCTTTTTTGCAGTATGGGATAAATTGTGGGAGAAACTTGACACCCCCCACCCCCCAAAGAGAGGAGAACAATTGTCTGATACAGAGGGATACAGAAAGGTAGTAGGGTAATTGATTGAGTGTGTCTCATAGAAGAAGGCAGGAAAAAAGTGCTTGTCCAGGTTGCTGGGCCAGGGCTAACAAGGTACATCTGCTTATATGTAGAGCAGGAGTGTTGGTAGAATGGAGGGAGGAGGAGGATCAGAACATAAATACATCTGATTTGAATTAGTAGTTGACAAGAATAGATAAATGTAAAATGAAAAGAGGTGCCAAAAAAGGGAAAGAACAGATGGCCAAAACAAAGTCAACAAAGACTTTGAGGGCTCTAAGGAGAAAACTCCAGGGAACTTTGAGCTTGTTCTGTGATCTGGAATTGGAACTATGTTTGAGAACTGACTATACTTGAGAGTTCAGGAAACTCCTGAAGAGTGAGCTTGTATGTTTGGCAAACATATGTATATTTTTACAGCCTTGACAAGAAATAATTTATCTCAGTGTAAACTGTTCTGTCAGAATTAATTTTATCCACTTCTAGTTCTGATTGGTTTTTATAGAATACCATTTTTGGAACCAGCTGATATGAAAAGTGGGCTGTAGTTGATTCAGTAGAGCTGAGTGTAGTTGAGTTAAAATAAGCACCTAGATACAGTAACTGGAGAGTTTTATAATTGTGTTCTGTTGATAAAATGTACTATACACTTTTACACTTTTGTAATTAAAATATATGGGAAATACTGTAAATATATTATCTGTAAATATTTATCTGCTGAACTGGTTTTCTTTGTGGGAATAAAAGTGGCGAACCAGTGGTTATGGATTGCTGCTGTTATGGAATCACAGCAACCAGTTTAGGAAAGGTTTTAATGATGCTTCCCTTGTGTGTTTGTCTTTCATCACCCATGTACAGTTCACAAAAAACCCTATGTGCTGTAATTTAATTGGCAGTGTATCCACATTAGGCAAATGCCAGTATTTTTAATAAAATCCAAGTAGAATGGACAAGTGGTTCTTGAATCGTGACAACCTAGATAAAAACAGAAGAGTTCAAAGTGTTCCCCATTGTAGCAAGAAGTGTGAATAACAAGCCCGGGGTTGTGTCCATTTTAAGCATTTGACATTTTATAGCAACTTAACAGTTACTTTGCTTTGTTGAAGAGACTGTTTTTATATGGATCAAGTGGCAGATGTTCAGAGGCTATAGAAGTTCCAAGTACCTTTGTGTGCTTAATTCACAGTGTAGCTGGTGGTGTCATGCGAAACCAGTTATTCTAGGTTGTTTGCAGCCCCCCATTTCTTAGGCTTCTCAAGAGATGGACAAATGCCCACTCTGGGCAGTAGTGCTCTCCTGCAGTTTTATAACACACAAATCTTTTCATAAAAATCAAAATTTTAACAGCCTGCCTCTGCTTTGTCTCCTAAGCCATCCATAAGTCTGTCATTTTAGTCATCTCTACTCTTAGTGCAGTGATCAGTAGGACTTTAAAGGTGGATCTACCTAGTGTGGAAAGAG